ACCCCCCAGGACAGATGGCGGGGAGGGTGCCGTTAACCGGTGTTCTGTGTCACACCAAACATTCTCAAGCAGGTGACGGCTTTCGGGCGGAGATGACAGACACCTTCCTGCTGGTCCCATGAGGGCCGGCTGCACGTGGCCCCTATCAGACATAGGAAGTCAAAGAGCCCCCTCCCTGTCAGGGACCAACCCAAAATTCCAGTGTGTTTTTCAGAACGATGTTTTTATTATATAGCACATTTTCTTTTATCCTGCCTGGGTCAGGAGAGAAGACGAGCAAATTAATGACACAGCAATTTTCAGTCAGCCCAGACAGGGCCCTCGTCAATCTGGGTGTGAGTCTGAATGTACCTCTCCACCGCTCTGATGCTGGTCATGCACTGTACACCCAACCGGGGGGGGGGGCGCTGAGACAGGACAGTCTCAGGACAGTCAGACAGATGAGACTGGGGAATATCGACCCTGATCCTAGGTAAAAAAAAAAAACCAAAAAACAATGAATTATTAATAGAATAACAACAACAATGACAATAATGATAATAGTAATGATAATGAAGATGATTATAATGTGGTTTTTATGATATATGATATGAAATCATCTGTCAAACAATAATTGCCGTCATTCCAAAGGTGAAATTGCTTAAGCGATTGTGTTGATTAATTATACCACACGGCTTGATTATCCTCTGCAGATTGAAGACGCCTCTCTTAGCAAACACATCCTAACAGCTCGCGGGTATGTCAGGAATTGTTTGCTGGGAAGTTTGTGACCTATTCCTGTGAAAAACTCTTTGCTCATGAATATTTACATGCATTCAGGCCTGGACTTCTGGCATTTAAATTCCAGAAGAATTCACCGAAATTCTGCATGTCAGTGTTGATTACATTTAAGAGGAAAGCAAATAAACACTCTGAAGAGCCAAGCAATCTTGAATCTTCCTTGTTATAAAAAGCACATTTTCTAATACAAGTCATTTATATCAAACTTCAATTTTATGCCCAGGACCTTCTTATAGATGGAAGCAGATTAAACAGAAATGGTGCAGCTCATCCAATCGCCTTCCAACTGTGTAAGGTTTTTTTTTTGGGGAGGGAGGGGGACTGGAACCTATACCAGGCAGCATAGGGCATGGAGCAGGGGAACATCCAGGATTGGGATGCCAGTCAATTGCGGGGCACACAAATTCACATGAGCAGTTAAGAAGCATGACGTCACCAAACCGGCATGGTGCTGCAGTGATTAGCGCTGTTGCTTCACACCACTGGGACCAGCGTTCGAGTCTCCACCATGGCTCCATGTGTGTGGAGTTTGCATGTGTCGCTGTGGGGTTTCCTCTGGGTTCATCATAGGCGTGAATGGTTTGTGCCCTGCGCCCCATCCACAGTGCCAGAAGGAAACCAACATGAAGAGAACATACACATCAGATCAACCCCAATGAGACAACAAGGCGTCTCATTAAACCAGCATGCTGCCCCTGGTGTAAACCCCCCCAGAAAAAGACTGGCATCTGTGTCAGTCTCCTGTGGCCCCCGAACACCTTAACAATCCTGCAGCTCTCTATCTGTATCAGGGTCCGTATTAAAAATGCCATAAAGGTCTCCTTTCACCTTCACTGTGCCCCTGTTGGTAATTTTATGGAGCTGCAAACAGAGTTTATTATTTCACAACTTAAGTGATTAAATGTTGAGTTTATGAGCCGTGGCCTTTGCGTTTGTATCTCCTCTGACATGTTCTTTGTAGTCCCGTAATACATCACTGGTAAATACTGAACTAGAAATAATTATTACTCTATAAGTATTCATCTCATCCCATATTATACTAATTATTACTCTATAAGTATTCATCTCATCCCAGATTATACTAATTATTACTCTATAAGCATTCATCTATTCGCAGGTTATACAAATTATTACTCTATAATTATTCATCCCAGATTATACTAATTATTACTGTATAAGAATTCATCTCATCCCAGATTATACTAATTATTACTCTATAAGTATTCATCTCATCCCAGATTATACTAATTATTACTCTATAAGTATTCATCTCATCCCAGATTATACTAACAAAACAACAGCGCCTCTTTTATATTAAGTGATTACTGTGCCTAATGGCTAAAGCTGTAAAAAATCTGAGCTCTACTGAACCTTTTAACTTCACCATTAAGCCATTTCAAACCACACCACCCTATTTAATGTAATTCGGCAAGATTTATGCAGGAGAGTCCCAGACGCATGAAGTGCAGTTTCTGAAAGGGCCGTTCATTCACAGAAACACGTCCACCCAGGACTCCCACATGCCTGCAGAGGCCCCAGCGTCCTCTCTTTGTCCACCTCACTCACAACAATCTGCAGATGCAGAAACAGGCCTGGACTTGGGCTCAACGCTCCACCCACTGAAGGGTGCAGATCCAGCCTCCCAAGAGCAGCTTTCAGCATAAAGTTACCAAAGTGACTAATCATGTCTCAAACTCTGTAGACTGCATTTTACCTACAGTTTTCTTTCCATCAGGAGATAATAAATAAAATACAGTGAAAAGACCCAATAATGAAAACCCTCAATAACCCAATACTGTGCAAAGTCTTAGGCAGCCAAAGAGAAGGTTTAAAGCTATTTATCTGGGTAGTAATTGTATATTTGCTCAAAAAAAAAAAAACACATTTTAACATATGCAATGTAAGAGTAACGCAATAAAATAAACAGGAATTTCTTCTGTTCTCCAAAAGGTTATTAACACCTTGCTGGATGGCTAGATGAACACCGTTAGTGGTCAAGTCAAAAAATATATGAGTGAATTTGATGGTTGCAGCAAATACCAGGGTGACTTTAACAGAGGTTTTGAAATGATTACAATCAATCAAAAAAAGATTGTTTTGAAATGCTGATGCATTTTGACAGACATAATATCGTAGTTTTACTCCAACACGAAGATCATTTAAACATCATTTTCTTTGACTGCCTAACACTTTTGCACAGTATTGTATATCAGGATCAAGATCCTAACAAAGAATAGGGCCGACTGTAACCTTCAGAATAGGTTCAGTTCTTCTTGGAATGCTATCAAGTCCTGATCTGTATGTAGTGAGAATGTAGCATTGTATGCAGTATTGTACGTAGTATTGTATGCAGTATTGTATGCAGTATTGTATGTAGTATTGTACATAGTATTGTATTTAATATTGTACCTAGTATTGGACTTTTCTTCAAGTAGAAAAGCCTTGAAAAAGGAGGTAGAAATCTATTTCAAACTCTCCCCTTCGGAATGTCCTAGATAGATTCTGTGATGTTTCGATCTGGTGATTGTGGAGCCATAGGGTCCATAAGAGAACTCTTGAATTTGTTTATCAGTGTCATTATTACCCTCTCGGCATAAGGGAACATCGGGAAGGAAGGATGTTTACGCCTTTTGGTGCACCTAGTCCGGTGAAATGGCCTCATATTCCTCGGCTGTTATATGACCAGGCAGTGCGATCATCGGGCCAAATGACTCCCAAAAGATGGACGCCGATACCAGCAGACATTGTCGGCTGACAGTATCCTGACGCTTTTTCCAAACCTGAAAGCACCCAAGTGTAGGAGAAGAGGTGAAAGGTGACTCATCGAACGCTGCTTTCTCCCATTGTTCATAGGGTCTACGCTGGCCTTGGATACAAGCCGTCTGTGAATGGCCCTCCTGTCATTAATTCCAACTTTGTGAAACTCATGATGTAATTTTTGTTGAGACTGGGTCACAGAGGTGCTGATTCTGATGTGTTGTGATTCCTGAGGCCATAGTGTTGTACCGTTTAGTAACGTTTTGTAGCGTTTCCATTATTTTGTCCACTCCTTGTATATAGAGCATTACATAAACTATATTCCGATCACATGATGAAATTTTTACAAATTTAACACTTCGATATTTTTAAAACAACAAGCAATTTAAATGGCTACAGTGGTCAAAGTTAACGAACAAGTATGTGCATGGGAAACAAATTTCTCATCCGCAGGAGCGCTTACCAATCGATAAACCTTCAAGGATAACAACCAAGAGCCTTCGAGAAGCAGTTATAACTTTTAAATTATCTTGCACACAAGTTATACTGCCTTTCACATTGGAGACTACCCACTAACAGCGGGGAATTAGATACAATGAACACTGAATACATCGATTATGATTTGGTTTTATTTAATTGAACGGCGTCAAAACACATACGAACATAGATTTTACGGGATGGGTCCCTTCAGCTTATATTACTAAAACAAGCCGGGTTGCGGTTTGCCAAGTCGGCGATCGTCGTCTCTGCTCCCCCAAAAAGAAGAGTAATGTCGCCTTATATAGCCACCGGGTCTGTGCTGGTCTGGCGCAAGCCAGAAAGTGCTCTCCCAGGAGGAGTTTATGACCGCGTTATTTGCAAACTGGGCAACCTAAATACGGCAAAGCACCCACGCAATAAATACGATGCAGCAATCAAACAGATTCATTTACCATTTAAAAAGTTATTTACCCAGAATAAGCTCTCCTATGAAAAATACGAGGAAAGGTACTTGAACTACACAGAATAATAAAGCGACGGCTAATTTTGACTGATTTTAATGATTAACTTATGATTACTGCTCTGAAAATTTGAGTTTTAATATTCTGCACGTGTGTGCAAGTGCGTCTATAGGACTGGCATGTATAGACATAGGCTAATAAATGCTTGTTATCCTCCAAAACAAACAATACAAAACAAACAATTATAAATACTTTTACTGTTGATACGTCAATGGAGACAATTTTTAAATAGAAATGAGAGGGATCCCTGACTTATGTTATTCTTAAAGATGCACGACAATATTAGGATGCTGTTACCAACAGTGGAGGGAAAATTAAACACCGGGAAGCTTTTATAATTTAACACATTTGCCAAAGAGTGGAGGACGGTGCAGAGATGAAGGGCGTAATAAGGCGCGCTATTGTTGGGGAGTGATTTGTAATTAACTGTGGTACCTGGTGTATTGGTGACGTGGGCGCCGTGGAGCCGCAGAAGCGATCGATGGGGGCGGACCTCAGCTGGATCTGGCCCCGAACACCAAGCATCGCCGTTTCGGTGCCAGTGCCCGAGCGTCCCGCAGTGTAAGGAGGCATCGGTGGCTACGTCTACGAGGTAAGATAGCACTTTAGCTGTTTGTTTCACGCGTCTTTTCCTTAAAGAGTTAATGTAGCCTGTTCTTTTTGTGTTTTAGATAGGAAGCCTACAAATATCACCCATCGATCTTCCAACTGCTTATCCTGGACAGGGTCGTGGGGAGACTATAGATGTCAACTACAAAAAAAGATAGTTCGTTATATTCTTATATGACTGACAGAATTACCATTTTACCAGACTTGCGAGCGCTGATTACTTTATACGTTTTATGCGCGGTGTGCGGTTTTTTTAAATGTGCCTCGTTAGTTGAATAGAAAAGAAGCATATTTAGTGAGATCGCTGTCCGTGGTGCTGAAATGTGGAAAGTCACCTATGAAAGGCGCTTCTCTGGGCTACCAGAAAGTGATCTCCTAAGTGATCTGTAACACTGAAAAATACAGGTATTGAAAATTAAAGCAAAGCTTTGAAATCCATAGTGATGCACCTCTCGAATTTTCAGTTTTTGGTTATATGATTTTCTCATCTTTTCTCTCATAATGCGTTAAGTTCGACTTATGATGCATATTTCGTATTTACACGCATTTCCCCTCTCGGCAGGACAACTTTGAAACGAAGACAGTTCAGATCTCATTTTACCCGGAGCTTTGCCGAAAGCTAAACCCAGAATCCTAAGGCGGAGTCCTAAAAGCGCCCATTCTTTATGTTTCACGTGCGCTTTTTCAAAGCTGAATTTACGCAACCTGAATGTTAAAGAGCATAAGAGCGCCAGCTGTACCGAAGTACTCCTGCGATCACCGAACATGGCTTAACGGGAGGATGAGAGGCGACTGACATCCTTTATAGGCGAACTTCATCATTTTAAGAAGCCTTCCCTCCTGCAGAGTATGGCACTCCCGATAGAGGACACTCGGAGGGCGGCATCGGGCATTAAGGCACGACACGCGGCTGTCAGGTTTACAACCACCAGAGAGAAGATCCTGTAGTTTTTCCTTTGAAAAAAGAGAAATATATATATATATATACATACACGTACATATTAGAATAGAAAAAAAAACTGCACCGGCCGCTTATAAAAATCTCCAGTCATGGGGATACAACACCTCGTGCTCCTTTTAATATATCTGGATCCATTGAATGTATTGTGCGCTGCTATGAACAAGAAAAACAAGGGTCCCCCGAAGCGAACGCAGAAGGTGAAGGAGGTGAACAGCACCGCTGTGCCCACGATAGGCAGCCGGAGGGTGACGCAGGTGCAGCCGCCGGCCACCTTGAGCCACGACGCCTGCATGGGCTACTACGACGTGAGCGGACAGTACGACAAGGAGTTCGAGTGCAACAACACGGACCATCGCTACTGCTGCGGTAGCTGTTTCCTTCGCTTCTGTTGTCAATTTAAAGGAAAGCGCTTAGATCAAAAGTCCTGCACGAATTACAATACGCCGGATTGGATCAAAACCCAGCCCCCTTCGCCTGTACCGACAGGTGAGACCTATGATCCGAATCTGGATCGGACGAACACAACGGTCTATATCACCTGCGGTGTAATAGCCTTTATTATAATCCTCGGAGTTTCAGCGAAAGTTGCGTATGACAAAGCAACCAAACCCCCTCAGGAAATGAACGTCCACAGGTAAGAAAACGTGTCCCTCATACTATCTTTTTACAAAATAAGCACACCGTAATACCCCGTGTAGTGCGCACAACCATTCCCCGCGAGCTCGGTTACATGCAACAGGTATATGACAAGATATCTGTAATTTTAAAATTCATTTTACACAGACAAACTTTAATCATTCATATTTCAGAAGTTAACAGGACGAAATGTTTGAGAACCTTTTTTTTAAACTGTAGCTACTGCTACTTAAAACCAAGCATAAAGACATATATGCAAATAATTTAATTTCATTTAATAATATGCTTATGTGAATGCAAAGGTCTGTTTTTTCTAAGGACGGGAAAATTAAATATTGGGGGTTACAGCTCCCCCCCCGGTTGCTACGCCCCTGCCTTAGATTTATAGTTATTGGTAACAGTCAAACATGAAGTGTGTGTGTGATGTAAAACCACAGGTGTTGCAACAAGGCAACGGCCTGGGGCCCCGAGCTGGTAGGGGGCCCCCGAGGGCGGCTGATTACATAGCACATTGCAACGACAAATATGCTTTATATTGTTTCTCACAAAAGTGAAAATAAAGGACTTGTGTTTATTCAATCCTCTTTGTTATTATTAATATAGACTTCATGCTAAAATAATGGTAATAGATTTCGGGGAGGGCCCGTTGGGGGCCCCATGGAGTTTTTGTGCCTAAGGCGCTCAGAGTCTCTAGAATCGCCTCTGCGTGAAACTCAGATCATTAACATTCTCCTTGGATAAAGGCAGGCGTACGGATGATCATTCATAATCTGTCCACTCTCCTTAAGCATGCTGGAATCGACAGGCGTTTTGGAATTTCACGTCGACGCATGAAGGGCTCTAGCAGCCAGTTCAGTGCACTCAGCATCTTTTGGATGGCAAGGCTGCAGTTCTGGGGGTGTGAAATTGCGTTGTGACCCAGTGTCTGATTCTGTAGTTTGGTTTCCTGTGTCTCATCACTGCTCTGTCAGAAATTAGTTGGCTGGTTTTTTTTTGTGTGTAATTTGCAGACCCAGTGTGACCCACCGCATGAGCCATTCAATTAAAATCCTTGGCAGCCACTCAGAGCTGTGTGATTACCACTTTGTCATCTCTCTCTGTAGCTATCAAGTGATAAACTTCACTTTCCCCTGCTTAGATATCTGCTGAACAGGTGTGGGTTAGGACTTCATGTGGAATTATGACAAGCAAGTGCATCATACCCTCATCGACACCATGATGCTGTATCCATCCACTGCTACCAGAAGTGCACATTCCAGGTCCAGAAAGTAAAAATCCAAACCAGGATTTTGTTTCAACCAACCAGTTGAGTATAAAGAGTCACAGTCACAGAGTACTCAACTGGTTGGTTGAAACAAAATCCTGGTTTGGATTTTCACTTTCTGGACCTGGAATGTCTGCCTCTGACTGCTACTGCTGGACATTGGCTGTGATTAAAGCACCTCACTATCATTCAGTTGAGGACCTCCACTTGCGTTCCCTGAGAAATGTCTCACTTGCAGCTTCCTTAAGCAAACAGTTTGACCTGAATCGACTCGCTCATTTTTAAGCTGGTATCTTCAGTGGAAAAATCCATCTGGATAAAAACGTAGAATCCGCAGCATTTGGTTCAACTAAAAGTTCCTGCCAGACGACTGTATCAATGGGGACAGAATATAAAGGCACCTTCCAGGGGGCAGGTTCAGGGGGGGGCAGCACATGTCAGGGGCCTCTGAAAGCATTAAATTATATATAAAATTTGCCATGAAGGGGTCCAAGGTGTCATTTTGTCAGGGGACCCAGAATTCCTAGGTACACCTCCGGCACATTCCACCCAAGACCATTTGGAAAGAGCCTGTCCAGCTCCCTCTACCAAAGACAGCAGGCGGCCCACAAGATGAATAATCACTCTGCGGTTTGATTGGATTTAGATCAGTGATCATCAGCGATCCCGTGACCTGTCATGCAAGCTAGACATCATCAGCTCTAGACTGCGTTTTTTTCTAGGTGTCACCTCTGCCAATCAGTCGAGCCACTGAGTCAACATATGTGGAAATAAATGGTACTATTATGTCTGTTAATCCTTTTTCAAACCCAAGGATTTGAAAAGTATCTCATTAGTCCTTTCATAGGATAAATCAGTGGTCAAATAATTTGAATGCATTGAATTGACACTGCATTGAATCTCCAGGAGCTGGGCTGGGCATCAGTGCTATTTGTCTTTGTTTAAATATTGATAAGTTGCTCTTATTTCAAGCACTTGACCTGAATGGAGTCTTTGCCTTTCAAAGAAGGACGTTGCCTGTACATCTTAATCCGGGCTCAGCTTCTGTCTGGTAAAAAGACATCTAAGAATGTATCTTGGATGCATTTTTATTGTTGCGTTTGCGGGTACACAAGTACAGTCGTGTTTGTGATGTGTAGACGTCTACTTTCTATTGTGAATTTTGCCAGTATCTAAAGTGCAGCTTGAATAGAGGCTGTGAAGGGAACCGTTAAAGGTTAATGGTATTTTTTTCAGGGGCTTAAACAAAATCATTGTACCTGCTGTTCTCCACTGAATGGGTATAAAGACTCCATTCAGCTACTAATCAAAAAGCGCACACAGCCTGCTTCTTCATAAACACGAAGAGCTTAAAGCTGACAAAATCTCAGTGAGTCCCAGAGAGCACTAGTACAGAATTAGGCTGACTTTAGCTAACAGCTTTTATTTGCCATTTGAGGTTCTCCGTACTCAGAAGTCAGAGTCCATGTTAGAAGGTCATGGCAATGCATTCCAATGAGCCATAAAGGGGTTCTAGATGATCTGAGCACCTCACAGGTGATCATAATTTAGTAGTATTTCTGAGTGTTTCAGCAATAAACATGGATGCAGTTTGTTAGTAGTGAAATGTACATTTCTACTAAAACGATTAATACAAATTTCCCAACTATACAATATTCTCCTAATTAATTATATCAAATTGCTTTACATTAGAAAATCCATTTATAATTCTGCTTTCTTATCATTTGTCTTAAAAGCAGTTATGTGGCTTAACTGTATTTTGAATAATGAGACGTCCAAACTCTTATGTAAGTTACTCTGACTAAGGGCATCTGCCAAATGCTGTAACTGTAAATGTAATGAAGCCAGGATCTGAAAAACATACGTTTCTGTTAAAACAGCTAATTCATATTTCCAAAAATCCCCAAAATATTGTCCTAATTGACTATATCAAATAGTTTTGCCTTACAAAATTATGTGTAACTTTGCCCTTTGTCATTTGTCTTAAAAGTAATTAAATTGGCTTTAGGTTATTTTGAGTAAATCTCTGCCTACCAAGCCAGGATTGCCCCCCCCCCCCCCAACAGGTTACAGCCCAGGGGCAAAGATCTCATGCCTGAGCGGTTTGTTTACTGAGCACTCAGCCCTCAGGTTTGCCAACCTGTGATACATGGACCTGAATCTGCTTGGATCCACTCAGATACCCAGGCTGCTGGCTACACCGATACTGAACCGTTTCTCCTGTTATTCCGAATCAACAGAAACCTGTCAGTGGATGTTTAGAACAATCAGAACTCAAACTGAATCGATGTGCTCTGACACCAGCTGCTGCATTTGCTTTGCCTGTGATGCCAAAAACAAAAAAACAAATTATAACTAGACAGCTTTAGGAAGTTAAAAAAAGGCAACTACAGGTTTTTAGTATGAATTATGCTCCCAGACTAAGGAATTTGTTTTGATCTTCCATGTGAACATTCTGTTCCCCCAGAAATGTCAGTCATGGTAACAAAAATTAAGATTTCGCAGTAGAATGGCATTGTGTTTGCATTTCACTGTTCCCTGAATCAAGACAATTGCGATTCACTGACATATAATGCAGTCCTACAGGAATCCCGATACACATTGCAGCGATGTTCACAATTTGTCTGAACTCATGTCTGAAGCTTGATCATGTTACTTCGTTGGATGATTCTATTTCTCATGGACATGCATGTTGTCTCACCTACGTCTCTCAGTGCATAAAAAGCTTCTGTTTCATATCACACTAAATAGTTCACTATGACAGCTGGGCCATATTTTAAACTGAGGCATTAAACTTAAATATTATTAAATATTTGAATACATTTGAATTTGAATATATTGATAAACAAGAAGGCGAACAAACAAAGAAGCAAATACTAGTATCACAATAGACTTGTTGCAGAGGTTCACTCATTAAGATTTTGCTGTTAAAGGGGATTCATCCTCTCAAAATAACTTTGCACGTCATCAGACAATGTGGTTGCCATCTTATATGGATAACTTACTCCTTGCCTAATGATGTTAATAATATATATATATTATAAATAATGACATATCATGTATTGTTATTCTTCGTAAAGCACAAAACTAAATAAAGACGGTGATGAACAAGAAATTGTACGTAAAACTGCCGGCTAATGATATTCACACAGTAAGTGAAACGCTAATGTGTTTGAGCATAATTTGGTGTAACTTTATTACACGATAAACAGCATCTAAAATGACAAAATTTTGTCTGTTTTTCCATTTTTGAATCTGATTATTAAAATGCACGCAGGCATCGAGGCAGCAGATTCTTTTTTAAATCCGTAAATAATTCTGATTTGACGTACAATATGTGTGGGAGGAGCCAGAATAAAACGCAAAATGATCATAAAAGCATAATGGCTGGTGGTTATGTGTGATATACATGCGTGACGTAGAGGTATACAGACTCAGTTACCTCTTACAGAGGGCTGCGCACATGCTTGGAGATACGAAAGAGTAAGTGCTGACGTGTGTTTGTAGGGGGCTGGGGGGGGGGAGGGGATTAAAGTTCGTAAAAACCCATAAACCCTTCAGCTGCAGGAACCATGAAGGTGTCTGCAAGCACACTCAGCGCGGAAGATGTAGCGGGCAACTGGGCCATCGGAAATCAGGTCACTTCTGTCTGTGGACAAGATATAGGGGAAAAAAAAAAAAAACATGCCCACCATGGGTACGGAGGGCTAAAAATACACCATCCCAATGTCACATGTGGTTTGGGGACAAGGTGCACTGCCTGGTGGTTTTAACAGGTTGACATTGACATAGTTAAGACGCTCTCCCTGCTGTAAGGTAAAACCTCGATGATTGCTGCCTGTCTTGGTAATTAAGATGCAAGGTTAGAAAGAGACTTGGATGGAAAAGCAGAGCCGCTGTTCTTGGTTGGCATTCGACGAACTGTTTTAATGTGAAATCTAGACTGCGGAGATGATGGATTTTCTTAATCCGCAAATGCTGAACTCTTCATATCTGCAGAAAGAGTGTGGTGCACACTCACTCCTTACTGTACGCTTTCTTGCACGGTCAGGTGTGAAGCGACGGAATGTAACAGTATCCAGTTTAAGAGTTTATGAAAATATAAACGCAAGTATTATCAAGAACCACAGGAATGAGGAGCCTGAGGATTTGATTAAACTTTGATTAAGATTTATCATTCGCTGCATGTTATACTCGGTGTTGCTGTAATTTTCTTTCTTTTCAGAGCCCTGGCAGATATTTTGAGGCAACAGGGACCCGTTCCCATATCTCAGTACGATCATGAAAACATCGCAACAATGAATGGTTCACCCAAAGAAAACACACCCGTCCGGACCTCGAAGAACCACTACACCCCTGTACACGCTGTGAAATCCAACCATGGTGAGTGTGTGGGGACTCAACCCCGCTGTCTCCACTGAGTCAGACTGTGAGGTCATGGCGAAACCTGAATGGACAAGGGCTACAGTGGTGCTGACAGTCAGCAAGTCTGCACCTCATGCCAACTTGGGAACTGGGAAACGTGTCCCTCACAGTCAGCAGGTCAGCACCCGTGTGCCTACAGAGATGTCCAGGAGTAACCATAGCAGTGGTTAGTTGAATCCCTACCATAAACAGTTTCTCAGTTTCCCAGGACACTGGCAGGCCTGAAGACCAAGACAGTAGATGACCTAATAATAATACTAGTATTATAACAATAACAGTGATAATAATAATATGCCGACAGTGCTGCAGTGGTTAACACTGTCACTGCACACTTCTGGGTCTCTGCTCAGGCCCAGTTCGAAGGTGGCATGTTCTCCCCGTGTCGTCGTGGGGTTTCCTCTGGGTTCCCCTGGTTTCCTCCAACAGCCCAGAAACACATTATGGCGAACCGGGCTTTTTGCTTTGCCAGCGCGAAGTCATACGAGCAGCCGCTGGAGCGGACGCCTCCTCCTCCTCCTCCTGCTGGGTCCCCCAAGATCTCACGCTTTTGGATTAAATTGAGATGCAAATTAAAACCTCCATAGCAGCACTCAGCTCCTCCCCCCCGCCCCTCCTTTTTAACGGTCTCCAGTTTCCTGCTCCTGGGGATGAGATCGTCTGTCAGATGCCCCAGTATCACGTCCCAGATTCGCGTGGCACCTGTTCAGGGCTGCCGGGGGGGGCAGAGTCGTCACCCCAGGAGGGCGCGTCCACTGCAGCGCAGAACTTAACCATTTTGCTTAAACGAGCGAGATAAAATCAGTAGTATTATGCTCTGCTAACCAGAACATGCTCTTGGCATATTGCTGGTGGAGCTGGAGAGCAGGACTTTTTGATGCTAATAATAACTATAATAATAACCGGCAGGCTTATGATTAGTGTTGAATTGCGTATTTTTCACCTTGACCTTATAAAAATATTTCTGTGCAATGGATACACTAGCACCCCACCCAGAACCAGTCAGCATTTATTCACTCTGCATTCACCGGGCCAGGATGAGCGAACGACAGTGTTGGGGAAGTTGCTCACAAAAGTTATGCGTTACAGACAGAGGTGGAAAGTTCAGGTCCAGAAAGTACGAATCCAGACCAAAGTTTTGTTTCAACCAACGTGACTGTAACACTTTATGCTAAACTGGTTAGTTGAAACAAAACCTTGGTCTGGATTTTTGGTCCAGATTGGACGTTCTGGAGCTGAACTTTCCACGTCTGTCTGTACCGGATTACTTTTGCGAGTAACTTCCCCAAAACTGGCCAACAATAAGTATGATGCTCAAGATATTTGGACAATTATGGTATCTGCTGTCGTTTCCGGGAGGGAAAATGCTCCCTAACCCTTAAATAAGTCTCCTTTTAAACTTTTAAATAGTAATTAGGTATAAACAATTAGGCACAAAATTATGTTGTGCAGATAAAAGCAGCTTCCAAGCAAACAGATGACGGCGGAGGGAGAGAGGGAACAGATCTCAGTGGTCGGGCCGTTTATTGGTCGCTTCCCTGCAGGGAATGTTGGGTCGCGGCCCGGGGTCAGTGTTCCTGCTGTGTCTGCCATGTGCCACTGCAGTTCTAGGCCAGGACTGATTCACCTAGAACACCAAAGACCGCCCCCTACCCCAATGTTTTTACACAATCTGCTTGGCATTTCCTTCCTTACTTCTAAATTGCTAGCTGAGGCTGTTTGGATCATAGTTCATTCATTTCTTCGTTACTGAAGGATGCGTCACCCTCTGCCTTCACCACTGTGAAGGAAAGGTGCAAAATGACACACGGCCATGATGTTTCACCTTTGTGCCTCTGAGCTGGAGGCGGACGTAGCCCTCTGCCCCGAAAGCTTACCTTTTAGAAGCTCGTTAAACCATGTGCGCTGTCGCTTACTGGTCTCCTCCCGGAGCTGTCACTTACTGGTCCTCCCCCAGAGCTGTCGCTTACTGGTCCTCCCCCAGAGCTGTCGCTTACTGGTCTCCCCCCGGAGCTGTCGCTGCTGACCTCTGACGCACAGCTGCAATTTTGGATGCCAATTTGTCTCAATAAAATCTTAATGGCCGCCGCATATCGTTTCAGTTCTGAGCTAACGGTGCCCGCGAGTGCCAGGTCCTCTCCGCCGAGCTAACGGTCCTCTCCGCCGAGCACGCCTCAGTAATCCTGCCGTTGAAGCTCAGTCCCACACAGTTTACTGGTGGCTGAATCGGTTTTCCTCCCGTTATATCGGGGGAAAGAGGGGATTCAGATACTCATTGAACCACTTATCCACACACACACACAGGTTTGTAATTATATCTTTGTGGGGACTCTCCATGCATGTCTATGGGGGAAACTCTAATCCCAGCATGACGACCTTAACCCCTACCCAGCCCTAACCTTATCCATAAGTAACCAAACAGAATAAGACACTTTTGGCATTTTTAGTTTTTTGATTTCATTCACAGATCTTTGTGGCGACTTGAACAATGGTCCCTACAATGTCAAAATAACTTTTATTAGATTGTGGGGAATTGTGTGAAGTGTGAGATGGGGGGGGGGGGTTGCATCTCAGAATAAAACGCATCTCATGGTGGAGAAACAGACTTCGGTGCCTGAACTCACACTCTCTCATTTCTGATGAGAATGATGTGAAAATTTTGCATGCATGAAGCAACAATTTAATCTTCCTGTCCAGGATAGCAGCTTGGACACATGGTTATAATCCTCCTGTTGTACCTCAGCACCGTAAATTAGCTTACAGAGCAAATAAATAAATTAATGACAACTAGTGCAGAAGGGAGGGGGCCTGGGAAATATGTCATGATGAATGGTCTGACATAAGCAGGCTATTTCCCCCTCTTGTCCCAAGGGCATTATGGGAAAGAGAACTTCCGCAGTGGAGGCCAAGATCTGCATAACTTCATCTCCTCCGGGTTCGTGACTTTGGCACGGCCGCCTCTGAAAGGTAAAGTTCCTCCTGACCTTGTGGGCTGAGGGCACCGGGCAGCCATATTGATTTTTCATTTTGCTCTCCTTTCATTCTTGGTCTTTCTTGGCTGTCTAAGTGACTTCAGTTCACTGTTACACCTAAGCTGCTTGCCGGACAGCCGGGGACAAACGGGGACAACCGGGGACAAACGGGGACAGCCAGGGACAAACGGGGACAACCGGCGACAAACGGGGACAGCCGGGGACAGCCAGGGACAAACGGGGACAACTGGGGACAAACGGGGACAGCCGGGGACAGCCAGGGACAAACGGGGACAANAAACGGGGACAGCCGGGGACAGCCAGGGACAAACGGGGACAACTGGGGACAGCCGGGGACAAACGGGGACAGCCAAGGACAAACGGGGACAGCCGGGGACAGCCGGGGACAACCGGGGACAAACGGGGACAGCCGGGGACAAACGGGGACAACCGGGGACAAACGGGGACAGCCGGGGACAAATGGGGACAACCGGGGACAAACGGGGACAAATGGGGACAGCAAGTTAACTTTTCATGAAACCAAAAACATTTGGATAACTTTTAATGCACTGGAACATATAAAGTACTGTACAAAGGTCTTAGGCAGACAAAGAAAATGTTTTATGCTATTTACCTAGGTAGTAAGTTTCATTTTGCTCAGAAAACAATACAGTTTAACACTTGAACATATAGTAACACAATAAAAACTAACAAGACTTTCTTCCGTTCTCCAAAAAGTTACTGATGTCTACATGAATGTCGCTTCGGTCTCCAAACCTGTCCTCAGGAACACCACAGTCATTCCATGTATTCGTAAAATTTCACCACCAGCTCACTTAATCAATCAATTAAATTAGTTTTACAGTTGTACTAACGGTCGAGTTAAATAATGTGGTGGCGTATTGCTGGGTTCCTACGAATACTGGGTGGCTTTTGGAGAGGATTCGAAACAGCGCACTTTTACAGACATAATAATATAGTTCTATACCTATATAAAGATCATTGACGCATCATTTTCTTTGACTGCCTAAGACTTTTGCACAGTACTGTGTGGGTGTGCATGCATGCATGTGTGTGTTTTGGGGTGAAGGTGTCATGCAGCAGGGTTTGTTTGTTGCTCAGGTTCAACAGGATGCTACAGATACCGATATGCATCCACAGCTAAATGGCTTGTCGATGTCCGTTCACAGCACAACATTCCGTCGACGGGATCAGTCAGCTGGGCTGGCCGGGAGACCTGGACATCCCTCTCGCATACAGTAAGTATCCCTGTCGCGCACAGCTGTGTAGATGGCAGGCGGACCCATAGCTCTCAGTATCAGAGAGCAGTGTGTGGTCTCTCCCTGGGCCTGGAGAATCAGAATCCAGCTGGTTTTGTATGTGACCCAACATCTAACTGGTTTAAGAGGAGTCCCAGCTGAAAAACCAGCTTAAGTTGGTTAAGCTGGTTGACCAACTTATAATAGTTGACCAACTTAAGGTATGTTTTCGCATGATGGTTTGATGGTTAAGCTGGTCATACCAGCTTATGATGGTCATTCTAACTGGTTTAGCTGGTCATACCAGCATGCACCAGCTGGATAGACTGGCCACACCAGCATGACCAACTGGTGACCCACCCAGCTAAATCATCAAAGAGCAGCAGGAGCTGGAACATGACCATCTAAGACCTGCTAAAACCAGCTACCAGCATAAGACCTAATGTTCAGTGTAAAATTTGTAACTAAAACACTGTAACGGATGGATTATTTATTCGGTCCATTTCATAGCAACTAAAGAACATTAGGAACTTGGCTCAGCTGGATCAGTTGTTGTGTGGCACTGACCGGCTGCGGAAAGGTGACATTCGGGGTCAGCTGGACTGTGAGTCTCCGTGACCAGAGCTGAGGTCTCCAGCCATGGGGTGTGACAGAGCTGCAAGCTGTGAAAAAACGGGGCCTTAACACCTGGACGACCCTCCATGACACAACAGTTATCAGGGGTCGACCACACTGACATAGACTGCCTACTGTTATTGTTTGGTGTCTGCAGCCTTAAATCCACTAAGCAGAAAATCACAAACAGCACAGTAAGCAAATGCAGACTTTTACCTACATTAGTTATATTACTAAATATTATTAAATGTAAGACCTAGGTGGCTTCCAGATCTCAGTGTGGATAAATCCTACTGGATGATCTCTGGACAAACAAGCACATATATGCATGTATGTCCGTGTGCATGAAATGGCAGCCGCTTCTGCAGCTCGCATCGAGCGGCTCGATGTTGACCTAAAAACGAAAGCTTGGTCGCCTGTGACGAGCGGTGCAGGAATACACTTCTGGTTTCATCAGTAAACAGTTTTAGATCTCGGCACTACCCGTCTGCGCTTACTGGGTCGGCTCAGCGATCCATGCATCCGGCCTCTGAATAAAAATGAATTGTCCGTTCCGGGCAACTCCCGCACTTTCCTCTGACACTAGCAGGAACGGATGGACGGATCAGAACAATCCTCTGTCCTCCTGGTTACTGAAATGAAACCTTGTCAGTCTTGAGATCGTTTCCAGGATTTGTTTACGCTGATAAGGGCCTGTGGTGGAAGGAATAAAGTGACACCATCATATGTAAAAGCCAAGTCCCCAGAATCCATGCATGCATAATGTGGAACCTCAAACTCAGGGAGAAGTTATATGAAAGCCTAGGAGACTGGAATTGATGAATGGAATGTGTTTAATGGCCTGAGGCAGTAATACACACTGTGTCACACCAGAGATGGACAGCCGGACCCACACTTGTTTGAGGCAGCGGTTACTGCATGCGAAGAAGCCGCCCGTTTGAAGGGGAATCTTGATTATTCATGCAGTGAGATCAGTAGACTGTTGCCAGGTGCCACAGGAGATCATCAATAGATGTGAGCAGATTGGCCGACCATGGATATTGGCGGGGACTGCATTTTGGTTGATGTGAGGAGATTGGCTGACCGTAGAGATGGGCGGGGACTGCATTTTGGTCGATGTGAGGAGATTGGCTGACCGTAGAGATGGGCGGGGACTGCATGTTGGTTGATGTGAGGAGATTGGCTGACCGTAGAGATGGGCGGGGACTGCATGTTGGTTGATGTTTGGGAATCGGATGACTTTAGAGGTGGGCA